GTCCAATATGTTTAATACTTAGATATGAATGATATTCATGTTTGTATTCATCGAATGAACGCCCTTAATAGTACCTTGTTTCTCGCACGATTTTGAGCAAAGATTTTATTTGATTTGCTTCTAATTTTCTCCAAAGTGTAGCGGTAGCTCAACTTTGCGGTGAATGCATCTGTTCGGCTAGCACTGTATGTTATGACAGGAACGAGGCTGTTATTTGACGCGAGTACAGTGCCGACGTCTTCTTGTGAGCAAAACCTGAAAGTGTTCCAGAGTTGATATTTTCATATTGTCCTAACTTTGTACCTGTAACCAGTGCGGCGTTTATCTGGGTGTGCCTTAATCTCAACACCAGCATAAATGCATCCATCTTTAGAAAATTTAGCAGGGAGCTCCGCAATCTTCACTTCTATCTTCGCATTGCCTACATTGTCCGGCACCTTAAGATGATCGATTTTTTAAGTTCGGTACAATTTCTAAAAAGGCACATACCTTAATCCAATCGGTACATCTTTTATATTCGTCCAGCTCCTCACCGACTTCCCCAGCGTCTAGAGTGTTTTCAAACGTTTTCCAATCGGTGGAAGCCTCCAGTTCAGCACCGCAATTGGATGGCTAAATCGAATTCTTGAGATAATGTTTACTTGTGAAGAGATTAGTCACCTTTTCCCCGCATAAGAGTCCACCGTACCCGCTAGGGCAAACGCACTTGGAACAATCTCGAGGATGAGCGAATCCATCATTCTGGCAAGCTGGTTTATTGTTTGCGCATGCGCCTTAAACATTATTTGTGCACACATGGGTCCAGAATTTTTCTCGCACGTTACTCACCGAGGCAATCGTAGAGTTTATTCATCATAAGCAGGTCGTAAAACGAAATGATATCAGATCCAAGAGTCTCCGTATAATTACCGTCTCTAGCTTCCATAACACGCCGACTGACGTCAATGGCAGCGTTAGGGCTAAAATTGCTTGCTCGTATTCCGCAGATACCTCTTCAAATTTGTTCTACCTTCTAGATCCGTAATGCATTATGCTACCGTAGTCGTAGGTCAGATCATAGTTGTTGTTCGTTGCACTGTCCTGCTTTTCGAACTGGTCACGCCAGTCAGGCTGAAGTGGTCAGCCTGATTGTAGTCCTTCTACAGCACTCACAGACCTTACCTTAACATTGTCTTCGTTGACTCTAATGTATTTGTCACGGTCATATCTTGATTGGGTGTGGAAGAATCCAAGTACATGACCAATTTCGTGGGCAGCAATCCCGACCTGCAGCAGGACGAAGGTTTTGTTGGCAAATTTGCTGCTGACTCATATCTCTTCATAGGAATGTGAGTATCACGGAAAGAAAGGTCTTCAAATTCATACCGTTCCACAGCCTTCGCCGAGCGTGAGTTTCTGCGGTACCTGGCTTTGGTTTACCAACAAGCGAAACACATCCGTCTCCGGGTTCGACGTCAAGGAAATCCCAAGCTGAAGCACTAGCTTTCTACTGTGAAGGAGCACTGTATTCATCTCATTATAATGTTAAGCCAGCAAATTTAGCTGGTGTGCTTCTGTATTTAGCTTTAAACTCGATACGAGCCTATATTTAAGAGCGATCACTGTGGCATGAATTAGGGATGTTAACGAGGAAGCGTTTTTTTCTGGCAGAATAAGACAGCTATCAAAATTTGAATAACAACACATTGCCACTTACTAAAACCCGGGTCGCTGAAATCCTTGTATTCTTTGAATTCAATGCACGTGTTGTCCCTCCATAACTGCGCTGCTTTTCTGAAGGCAGCCTTAACCTTTTCGTCTGAACATGAAGAAAATTTTGCTCATCAGTCGCACGTGCGATAGAATTTTGGAGCGACTGACCTGTATGGAAAATTAACATATATGGGACCTTTTTATCAGGCCATCTTCTACTTAGGTCACTCATTGCTTGTCGTTTAGAACGAATTTGGTCTTCCTGCTCCCTTAATATAGCTCGAAATTTTGTCAGAGAAGTTAGTAGAAATCGGTCGAAAACCAGCCTTGTAAGGAGAATATCTCCCTGGTACAGCGAGTCTGCAACCCCGCTCTTCTGGTTGATTTCCTCAATCGTGTCTCCCATTTCATTTTCATTTTCGTCAACAACTTCTCTCTTAAACGACTCGAAAATGATCCTTCTTGAAAAACTGCTTCATTTGAAAAGGTCTACTCACTTTGCGTCTCTCGAAAAGTTTTTCTCTTCTCTCTGTAGAGGAGTGGAGCGAGTGCGATTTGTGCCGCTGCTGTGGCATTGCTTCCACACATACAGCCACGAGTATAGCAAATGCAAGGACCTTCATTCTGAAATGTAAAGCTGAAAGAAGATTTCGTCGGTCACGAGAAATGGGAAGCGTGCCGGTGGATGTGGCTGTTACCATCTTCTCGCATTTATATAGTCCTTTCAAGCGTTGCAGTTGACATTACGGGGATGGTTCGCAATGTGGTCTCAGTGACGTAAGTTCATTGCCATTTCAGCTGCTGCTCTGTCTGATATATTGCATATTGTGAGGTATACTGTAAACGCCGTTGTGAAGACTAATCGATTAGTAACTCCGCGTCAACCGCACGCGTTTAAAAAAAGCGTACGAGCTTCTGGCGACACAAACAGCTGTGGATAACAAGAAGATTTTGATACACGAGCCAGCCACATAGCCCTCTATATCCGATACCAG